ATTAAATAAAAAAAACCTTTGAATTTTGAAAAAAATTACATGTATTTTATAGTAGTTATTTACTCTTGTGTACGTGCTTCTTTCTGTTCTACCGTATTCGTATACAAGGACGCGAGAAAAAAAGAAATAAAAACATAAAAGATGAAAAATATTAAAAATAAAGAGTCCGATCTCTATACTGATATGGTTATGCTAAATGTAATATTGGCTGAACGAAACCACAAAATATGTATTTAACGTGCCGATAGAATTTTTTTCACACCTATACCAGTTTAGAAAAAAAGCGACAAGATGAAGAAAATATAGATACAGCTTTTAAACTGCCTCTGATTTAGTTTTAGATAATGATTACTAAACAATCATATTGAGGAATATGAAATGGATTCAAATTTACCATCTTCAAAACGCAACAAAAGAAGTAAAGATGGTCATGATATATTAAAATATTTCAAAAAAAAGAAGGCTGATGATACAACTTCTACAATCTGTTCATCAGCAGTCACATCTAATAGTTCAATCTCAAATGAACAATCGAATGTAGCAGTAAGTGTGGAAAATAAAGAAGAATTAACAACAGCAGAGGTGGTATTTGAAAGCGAAGTTTCAACTCAAGCAAACAATGACATAATAATAACAGAGAGTGATATAGAAGATGAACCAGCACCAAGTAATTGTTTTTTTTACATTCAATGCTGATGATCCAAGCTGATTATTTATATTTCGTTTGATAATTTTAGGTAATTCATCTTCAGTTCGACAAACAACAACACCAACCACAACAATGATGGAATGTTCAACTGATAAAACTTTTGTGGATGAAATTGGAGTTCAACTTCGTATAATTGAAACATTGTTTGAGTCATGCCAAAAGCTGATCAAATCATCTACATCAATTGACATTTGCCCAGAAATATTTGTAGAACAATCAAACGTTTTTGCTGAAAAAATTGTCCAATATGGAACTGATTTGAAAAATTTATGTACAAGTTTTATATCAATGATAGAAACAAATCGAAATAATATAATAGTAACTAATCCAAAACAAGATAAATTAATTGATCGTGATCCAGGTGAACAAAAAAAATATTTGAAACCCTCCTAAAGACCTCTATTTGTCCGATTTCTTGTTTAACTTTTCAGGTTCATACAACAGCAACTACAAATTTACGGAAGAAGAATTACGGTATTTTGCTTCAGTAGGTCCATTACAAATTAAATTAGATCATTATCCAAGAAATGAAGAATTATATACAACTGGAAAGACATGCAGATTTGCAACAAAATGGTATGAAGAACACTCATACCTAGAATATAGTGAAAAAAAAGATGCTGCATTTTGCTTTACTTGTCGATTATTTACCGATGGTAAGGCTAAACTGAAGGCGTTTTTTAGCCGGATACCTGCAACTTTTACTATTTTCATTAGGACCAGGAAGTGAAAAACATGCTGATGCTTGGACATCGAATGGTGTTCGTATGTGGAACAAAATGAAAAGTGTAGGGGCAAAAAAAAAAGGTTGATAAAAGCGTATTAAATTTCTGTGATTTAATGTAGACCTCGAGTTGATTGTTTTTATTTTATTATTTCCTTTGCATTTAGGTAAACTCGAACAACACTTCTCATCGATTGCGCATGTAGCATCAGTTAATCGCTACTTAAATTTTAAAACAAAGAAATTGAATGTTGATTTAATGCTTGACAATAATAGACGTAAAGAAAATCAAGAACAAGAAAAAATTCTACAATTAAATAAAGAAGTAATCGTTACTTTACTCGATTCAGCAAGATTTCTTGCAGCACAAGGTTTAGCATTTCGTCGAGAACCGGAAAATGAAGGTCTATATTTGCAAGTTATAGGAACATTTTTCTGTTTATTTTACCACAATATTCTCTTGTCAATTAGGTAACTTCATTCAACTTATTCAATTACAACGTCGAAATAATCATATATTGAATGATTGGTTTTTAAAAGCAAAATTAGATAAATATCAAGTATTATATATCTATTTTCTCTTCGACCAGATATTCAAAAAGTCATATTACTTGTTTAGGTATCGTACTTAAGTCACCGATCACAAGACGAGTACATACAATTATTAGGTGAAGAAGTTCAGCATTTAGTTGTTTGTGAAATTAACAATTCACCATATATCTCAATCATGACTGATAGTACTCCAGACTCATCCCACAGGGAAATGTATTCCATAGTCATCAGATATACACAAAATTATGCAGTGAAGGAACGTCTGTTGTCTTTACAAGAGTTGCCAAGCAAAGTTGGCAAAGAGATATGTCAGCTATTATTATGTTCGTTGGAAAGAAAAGGAATATCAGTTGATAAACTTGTGGGACAATGTTACGACAATGCTCCAAACATGGGAGGTGCTCACAAAGGTGTTCAAGTATGTATTAATAATCATTTAAATAGAGAAATAATACACATTCCGTGCGGCGCACATACTTCAAATTTATCTGTGGAACATGCATCTGATTGTTCGGTCGAATATACTAGCTTATTCATGTTGTTACAGGAATTATATAATTTTTTTACAACTAGTATCAAAAGATACCATGTTCTTCGTGAACAGCTGGACAAATCACCTTATGGATTAAGTGTTAAATCATTATCAGGAACGAGATGGAGTGCAAATTATGAATCAATTCATAGTGTCATTGAATCATATGATATAATTCTTCAGTGTTTAATTTTAGTTGAAGAAGAAACAAATTTTGATAAAGAAACAATGTTAAAAGGAAGAGCTTTAAAGAATAAATTGATGTCGTATGAAATTTTCGTTTTATTAAAATTTTTAGAAAATATTACAAGAACAACACATTCATTAACAAAGCATTTACAATCGAAAGAACTCGATATACTTTCGTCAATAGATTTAATTGATAGTACTTTGAAATTAATAAAAATAATGAGAAATGATGATCAATCATTGATAAACATTCTAATAGTTAGTAAAATTATACATATTGTTGTTTCTGTGTTCAGTATTTATTTTATATATTCTAGTGTGGAGAAGAACATGGTAAACTATACGATGTTGATATTGAGAAAGAATTTGACCGATTGCACCGGCCTCGTCAACGATCATGTCGGTTTGATTCTAAACCGGAAACAGCTGTTCGTTTAACTAGGTAGCTATGATCGAAAAGTTTTTTTAAACATACTTTCGTCAGTCGAAACCATATTTTTCTTTTCTTCCAGACAGTCATTTTATTTAAAACTATTTCGTGAAATATTAGATCATTTGTATACAACGTATGCAGATTATCTTAAAGTTTTAAAAGAAAAATTAAAATGGTTTAATAATATAACACCTGATCGGATTGAACAGTTAACATTAGCTGAATGTGAGCACATGTGTGCAATAGTGCCAAATTTGATAAGTGCACAGTTATTATATACTGAATTTCAATTATTAACTGATAAAATAAAAGAATGTGATGATATGAGTCAAGTTATCAGATTATTACAACAATCTGGTCATTTATATCCCAAGTTGTCAAAAGTGTATAATTTTATCTTAACATTACCAATATCAATTGCGAGTAATGAACGCAGTTTTAGCAAAATGAAACTGATAAAGAATTATTTGAGATCAACTTTAACAAACGAAAAATTAGAACATTTATCACTATGTTCAGTTGAACGTGATTTAATAGAAAAATTAAATTTATCAAAACTTTCTAATGATTGGGTAAGTCCCGATCCTTTTCTCCTTCTTCTCAAATCTATCGTGAAGCTGAATGAACTAGACATCATTCGCCTTTGCATTCTCAATTCTCTATTTGTTTTACATTTTTCAGGCATTGATGAAAAATCGAAGGGTGATAATTCATAAAAACAATTGATTTGATATTACGAACATGAATATTTAACTATTATTTTGCTTTTGTTTTCTTATAAATGAAGTTTGCGTGTGTTTTTATTCTTCAATTATATATTTAGTCGAGATAATGATAATAAAAAATTGTAATTGTATACGAACGGAATAAATAGAAAGGACAAGAAGAAATCCGTTTTCTATTATTACATAGTATCTTTGACAAAAATTTTTTTACACCCCCCCCAAAGTTTGCGGAGTCGGGCCAGCCCTGGTTGTTGTTTAGATTACTGATTTATATAGTAATGAAGAAATAGTATCTGTCGTACAAATAGAAATAAACGAAGTGTTAGATGATATTTTTTTTGTTCATCTTCTTTTCTTTTCTTCCATGGCTAACTCATCTCTTTGTTGACTAATTAGATGCGTATATATGAGCAAGTAGAATTGAATGTTGATAATCTCTTTGAATTTCGTTAATGATAAGCTAACTGATAACTGCCAATAACGGAAATAAGTAATACAATATCACGATTTAATTCATAATATGAAAATTCTTGACCACTCAGAGTTACAAAACCTTCCATTTTATTTTAAAATATCTTATTACAGCCAATAACAAATGTGTATCATGAAAAATCAAGCGATTGTTTTTTGAGCAATATTTGAATATTAAGGATGTTTATATAAGTTGGTGAGGGAGAATATTTGCAATCTAAATAAATATAGTCTGAGTTACATTACAACTAATCGTTTTATAATGTCGCTAGTTGTCGCACTCTTCTGATCAAGCATTTTCAAAGCAAATAATTCGAGAATTGCATAGCCAATCACAGGGATTGCCCGAGGTAACCTACAATGGGGGGGGGGGGGGGTGTCGCGAAATTTTCTGCAGTAAAAGGTGGAATTTTTTAATTTTGGGGGGGTGTAACATTATTTTTCATGACAGATAGAAGAAAAGTTTTTGATTTTGCTGAGCAAAAAATAGAATTTTTCTAAGATTGGGGGGGGTGTTCCACCCCCGACACCCCCCCGGTCGGGCCACCCCTGGCCAATCACATACGTCACGTACACGTATCTCTATAATGGTGTTCATATTTTCCTTTATTCAGTTGTTTCCCTTAAGCGGTGCCTATACAAGATCAAGATTAACGCTGTATCGATATCGATAGATAGTTAGCTAGTGCTGTGCTTGTGTCTCCTGTCGGTGTACATATACCCTTTACACTTAAACTTATTTTTTAGATTATAGTTTTCTTCAAAATTTTCTCGACTGTCGTACGATTGGTGTATATTTCAATCACATGTCGACAAAAAGTAAAGAATCCTCGAAAAGTATCGATATGAATCTATACTTGTGCATCAAAAAAGTTCTCTCTAATTGTTTCCGTTTAGATATGGATAAAGTCTTGTATGTATGCAGCGATATTATTAACCAAATGCAATTATCGACTGAAAAAAAAAAAGAAATATATGCAACTCTTGAACAACTTATTGCTGATAAAATGACTGTTCAATCTTGTGCAAATAAGTTACGTGAAATAGCAAGTGTACCGTCTACAAGTCCGTCAGATACAATTGATACTCAATGTAACTTAACTAAACCTGGTTATTCATCTAAACAAATTCAAACAGGGTGTGGATGTGGGTGTGGGTGATGAGAAGATGACCACCCTCCACCCACACCCACACCTACACTCACACCCACACCTACACTCACACCCACACCCGCACCCACCCCCACACCCACCCCACACCCACGCCCCACACCCTTATACTTCTCTGATTTCAAGAGGCCAAATTTTTCGCCAAAAAAAAAGGGAGAAAATTCATTTCTAGGTAAAAGTTAGCTAGAAAATCACTCCGAAAAACTTTGAAAGCGCATGATTCGACGCAGTTCTCTTCGTTGGATATGATTCAATACTTTTTATAGTAAAAAAAAATAATAGTTGACCAGAAAAATTTAAAATCACTACCTGCTGACTTTGTTTCAAAATTTTCAATCGGATGTTTCTTATTTGAAACGTTGAAAGTTAGCTTCTTTTGTGCAGAATTAAATACTCTACAGAAGTCGAGAATCAAATTTTCTTTTACTTTTAAACCGGCCATAGAAAAACAAAAATACTTAAAGATTTCGTATTTTTAAAAATCAAAAAATTTCGAAAAACCCAATATTTGCCAAAGAAAACCACGCATTTAAAAAAGTTAAACATACTAGTCGATCCAGTCTCACATGCTCTTTCAAATGAAATGTTGTTCAACATTATCCGATGTAATTTGGCTGTAAAAAGCCAAAATGACTGAAAATTACATGTTTTGCACAGTTTTCAGAGTGCATTTTATTGAAATGCCTATAACTCCGTAAGTGTAGGGTATAAAGATGTAACAAATTCTTCATAACTACAGTTTTCCACGTAGGAATGCGTAGTAGAATGCCTCATCTATAATAGAGAGTGGATGTGAGAGAATAGAAGATCCACACCGATACCCAGATCCTGCGCCCACACCCTACATTATTATAGATGAAACATTCTACTATGTATTCATGCAATAAAACTTTCGATATTAACAATTTTAAAAAAACTTAAACATCGTTATCAGAACGTTTGGTCAGCCCTAAGTATTATTTGATTATTTTGCGTTGTACTACTACTTTTCTAATACCTTTCACTTTACTCAATTTGATACTAAGCTATAACTGTCGATATACAAAGCTAAAATCCTTTTTATTCGGTATATGTAAATTCTATTGGAATTTTCAATATCAACTATGTTTCATTTTTTTTTCCTGTAACTAGATCCGTTCAGGTTCGTAACAAAATACAAGAGTTTATGGTTGAAATGTAATAAGCCGAAATAAAACTGATTCAATGATTAGGCTTAAGTTACGTCACTTAATATGTGTAATCATTTTAACAAAACTGACTATTTCCAGAAAATTATTTTTGTTTCGGAACGATTAATATCACATCATATCTTGTACATTTTGTTTGATTGTTCAATAATCAAAATTGAAGGAAATACATTGGATATGTGAAAAAAAATGTTGATTTTGGTATTCTATTCAATTTTTTTCTTCAAATTAGAATTTTGAAAATAAATGAAAGAATATAAAATCAACAAACATTGCCAAATGTTAACAACGGTTCATCCAGAATAAATGCTGATCTTAGCATTTTGTTGGTAATTTGGTCATTTTTCATGACTCACCTTTTATATTTTTCAAGAGATTGACTGTGTAATTCTTCATAAAAGGATATATTCTACTCAAAAAATACGTTATTCCTGAATATTTAGACTACAACATAATTAACAATATAAACAACCCGTAAAAGTTCTACAGTTCCAAGGAATCTCTTTCGAAAAATTCATATGAGTAAACGAAAACTGATCAATCATTGTTAAGATACTACTTTTTTATTTGTTTATCATTGTTTACAGACTGTTTCATTAGATCTGGGTATTGTACTGATACTAGAAAATAATCATGAAGAAACGCTATTCTAACTAAAATTCAATTTTTCTTCGAACAAACTTTTATTAAATAGTCGTATTTTATAGAATTAAAGAATATCGGTAAGTATGATGAAAAAATATTGATCTTTGATTATTGTTCATTGTTAAAAACTCAGTGAGATAATTTTGTTCGATTAGCAGTATTAAATTCTTGTCAACGCATCATTTATATGACAACTCACAAAAAAAAATGTTCAAGTACACAAACAAAAAAAAACCAATATGAAAAAAGTGATTTTTAATAATTATAAGGTCGACTTCGTTTTGGCAATCGACTATATCCACCAGCACCTCGATAATTATTTGAAAAACCATCACGATTATTATTCCATCCAGATTGATAGGATGGTGTCTGTTGTGGACCATTCATTGGAGATGATGTTGAAGAGTGAAATACATTATCAAGTTGTCTCTTATTATTGAATGATGATGAAGAATTATCTGGAGTAGATGGTAATGTTAATGGATCAGGTGAAAAATTAAAAGCACTACCACTCATACTTAAACAATAACATAAAGTAAATACTATTCAATGAACTTTTATTGTATTATTTTGTTTTCTTACTTATTCTGTGGCCGATATTGTTGTTGTGGTGTATGATTACCTCGATAATTATATCTATTAAAAGGACGGTTATGTCCACCACGAAATGATCTTTGATTATATCCTCTATTCGATGGAAATAATTCATTTGGACGATATTCAGATGAAGATACACTAAAAAGAATATTTTATTTCCTCTATATAATAAAAATAAAATAATTTCTTACTTAAAATTTGTATTTGTTGATTCTGTTGTATTATTATCATTATTATTATTTTCATTAATTTTTTCACATAAAATATGTTCAAGCTGTTGATCAGATAAAAGACGAATTAAATTACATAATTGTTCAACTGATTGTGGACGATTGATAATATCATTTGGTTCTTGTGTACATCGTATAATTAATGCTTCTATAGCTGGTCGAAGGGCAACAATTTTTGATGCTAATTCAATATTCATATTTAATAAAATCCTAAATTAATCCATAAAATAAATATTTCCGATGAGATATAAATACAAACCAATTATCAAGACAAACAAGATTTGGTTCAATAACATCAACTTGATCAGATGCAAATAATAATAATTGTACTGGTGTTGACATTGACATTTGTTTAGCAGATACAGCTCGAGTTTTTATCTTAATTAACACAAAAAAAAAAATATATATATATATTCATTCTATTAAAATTTGCAAATTTGTATTTTACTTTTTCCGTAAAAACAAAAAATGGTGATGGAAATATTGGAATTTCTCGTCCACAATTAACTGAATTTTTATGTATTAATGCTTCTTTACCTTCAGTTGTTAATAATTTTCGTTTTGATATATGAAAACAAACATTTGGATAAAGAGCATAACAAAGAAGTGATATCACCTTTTAAAGAAAACATAAAACTATTATTAAATGAATTATTTTTTTTTGTTTTTGTATAAATACAATATCTAATTTGGAATGTGATTGTTCAACATCAAGCCATTGAGATGATAAACATTCTTCAGGAAAACCTGACATTATCATTATATCTCGAAGTTGATTCTAAATTAAAAATAAATTTAACTTTTACAAAAAAAAAAAACCTTAATAAATTTAAAATGATTTTACTCGTGCTTCATAAGTCATTCGCATTGTTGATAAATTAAGACATTTACGATCACAAAATTCCATTTCACCACGTTCACCATTACGATTTCTATAAAAAAGAAAAACAAAGTTCTTTAATTAGAAAAAAGTTTTTTTTTTCATAAAAAAAATACTTTTCTCTTTCATATTGTTGAAATGCGTTAAGTAAAGCAACATGATCAGAAAAACGATTTCCAGCAAGATTTCGATGCATATGACGTAAATGTTTACCATCATGTAGAAATGGTTCAGGAAAACTAGTTGCTGATGCTATTGTACAAGCAGCATCACCAACACTAAAACATTTTTTTAAAAATCAAATTGATTATTTACTTGAAATTTATTGTGAGAGTGATGCATTTTAGATTTATTCACAATGTAAATAAACAATATTTATTATTGACATAAGAAATTTTAAGAAAGAAAAATTTTCAGTTATTTTTGTTTCTTGAAAAGAACATATTTAAAACATGGCAACTTT